ACTGCACATGTGTGCTGCGCACACCATATCATCCACACAGAACAGATCTCGTGCCTAACTTTTCACGAAGTAGCACGAAGAAACTCGTGGTCACAGAAGTCGTGCATTCACTCTTCGCAACATTGCATAAAAACATTGAAGTCAAGTTCGAAGACAACTTCTGAGGCCAGAAGCATCTTATAAGCCGGATTAACATCCGAAGAAAAGGTTTGGCCAATGCCTAGGTCAAGTCGTCCCACGGAGGACCGTCCAAGGACTCCATTCCGCCAGCAGAACCGTCCCCCGTGTCTAGGGCACAGGGACTGTTCTGGCAGCACCGCAGTCTTTAAATGAACTACTTGCTGGTCCTTACAACAAATCAGATGAAGCACTCTCTTCACGAGGCATTTGAATTGCTCGAAAACCCCTAGGTCTCAAGTATAAACAGCATTTCCAATCATTTATCTTTTTGACGAGTTTGTGGGGTTTTTACGAATTGGCGGACGCAGTGAACTACTTTCTCCACGGTGGCTTCTCCAAACCCGTGTCCATATGCTAGGTTCTCCAAGCATGACTCTTGTGCTTCTATTTGTCCATAGGCAAAACTTTCCCACAGGATAGCGAAAGAATTCAAGACCGGATAATCTAAAAAACCATGTTTGCGTTTATTCCAATGAAACAAACCGAAGTAAACTCATCTGCCCTTAGTCGCGGATGATGCGAAAAAGCCCAGGCGAGCGTGCGGCTCCAATGGCCTCTGGCGCCGTCTAACGGAAGAAAGCCGAGCCATTGCTGAGGCTATGCCTGATTGAGCAGCATTTCAGCATCTGTTTGATTTTTGTGCTTGCTCTCCACTTGGTCGGTTAACGATTGCAGTTAACACCAATAATAGTGCTCAGAGAAAAGAAATTTTAAATAAAAGTCCCCCCCCCCCCATCGTCGTTCATTTCGCAAACTTATTATCGGGCGTCCGAAAACCGATCGCTCGACCTGACGATTCGATGGGTTCGGCCACGCTTGGTTTCGGCATTTGTCGCGGGACGCCTGTATACAGTCAAACCCGTTTATAACGAACAGCAGGAAACGCTACGATCAGTTCGATATAGCAAGTAGTTAGACATAGCAAAAACAATTACAACAAACTTCCACGGTACGTTCGTTATACAGATATATATCTCTTCACTTCCGCCTTGTAACAACGCGTTAAAGTTTTTTGTTTTTTTTTACATGCGTGGAGGGTTTGTTTTTTAGCTTATCTCCTCTTCTGAATCGCTTCTCTTCGTGGGCAACGCTTTTGGGATGAAAATATTTTTTTGTGCGTGCGTGCAGAGTATATTGTTTAGCTTTCTCCTGTTTCTGAATCGCTTCTCTTCGCTCAATTTTGTTTGCAACTTGAGCTTTTGGACTTGCTTTCTTTCCTACTAATTTATTTTTTTCTTCTTTTGGTGGGGGACAGTGTTGAAGACGATAGTTTTCGCGTTTTTGAAAGCCTTCCCAGGGGGAAAAAGTTTGATATAGCCAATATGTTGTTCGTTATAAAAAGTACTTTTACATGTATTTTTATTTAAATTTTTCGTGAGTTCGATGTCGACAATAATTCGCTGTACGTGGGTTCGTTCTAAACGGGCTTCACTGTATTCGGCAAAACTGGCATAAACTCAGCCACGGCTTGTCAAGCAGGGAGTGACGACAACAACTTAACAGCCGCTAAAGCTTCGATAACGGTTTTTCTTCGGGCTGCTAGCACGGCAGGTCATGTAAGCCACGCGCTCTTCTTTTTCGTGTCATCCGCAACTGTACCGTCGCTCTACCCACTCCTAGTTTGCGACATCCCTAGTCGTGACCGGGCGGAAACCCGTGCGACGCTTGGCGACGAGGGACAGAAAGGTGCCTACCTTGGCTGTGTATTTCGAGCCCTTAAGGCGCTCCTGGCAGCAGAAAGAGAGAGGAGGACGACGGTGGGTTAGGAAGACGTCCCAAGCAAGTTACGCCGCTTTCCAAGACTCCCGGGGTAAGAGAACTCCGCAGTTTACGCGGGTTTCGCCGAGTCGAGTCCGAGCTACGTCGAAGTGAGCCACAAATGGTTGACACCCGCGACGACTCCTCGCGGTTCTTTAGGGTGAGCCCCGTGTTCTCAGGGTCTGGTGGTTTACTCATCCCCAGATACACGCGACAAGGAGTCTATTACAACAGTCCCAATATTCCTTCTAGACCACTCAACACGGCGCACGCCTTCCTTCCGTGCACTTCCTTGCCCCTTGGCGCGACTTAAAGGGATTGTCTGGTCAAAACCAGAAGTAGTCAAGTTTTTGCGCTCGTTACGTCGAGGAGGCCTTCATGAAGAGAAACAACATTTTTATTTTGACCATATAATCTCCCGTTATTAACTAAACCTTTCATGAGCGTATGTACAAAACTGCACCCCGAATTTCGCCAGTGTCAATGGCTGACATCCGTAGCTGCTGCTTGACGTCACAAAACGCAAAAGATTTGTCGGATGGTAGGGATAACAAGCGTTGGTCGATGGATGCCTTGTATTTCGTTTCGAATTATATAGTCTCCTAGGTCAGTGGTTCTCCAATGGGGGTCCGCAAAGGCCTTCTAGGGGTCTGCGAAGCCCTGCCTCATCAGTCAAGCCCGACAATAAAAGTTGTCTTTTTTTCCAGGTTGAAAAGAAATGTTTCAGTTTTCGGGCGAGTTTTTTCGTGTGAATGTCCATAAGAGAGGTGTACTTCACACTAGCCCTTAGTTATATCCATTCATTAAATCATTATTATATTTAGCCTATACCTTTCCTCTCCTCTCACCACGAACAGGGGGTCCTCCATCACCTCCGCCGATCCACAAAGGGTCCGCGAAACATTGATGGTTGAGAAAAACTGTCTTAGGCTGTACCCTACTGAAATACACTTTTTTTATCACAGTTCCCAAGCGTGTGCAAAAAAAGTCACGCCTTCTGGCAGGATATTACTCGAAAACAGCCATAAGCCTCGAGCAAACGTATGCCGTTTCGCGCAAACACAGCATAAACAAATAGATTGACCCGATTTGGGCGAGTAGTGGATGGACGTAGTTTAATATCGTTGGCACAGCATCACACCTCAGCTTACGAGCCTTCTGTCCGCTTAGAGCTCAGCTCGTAGCTCTCTTCTGTGAGATGATTACTGCATAAGCGGGATCTCGATCTTGACGGGAACCCAGTCCCTACGCACGGCGACGATCCATTTTGCACGTCACTGTACGTCTCGCGGAAAAGTGTGGAACGTCATGTCTTGGCTCGCATGTGCTGTCAAGTAGTTGTGGCAAACAACCGCGCAACACAAATCTCAACCAACCACGAAACAAGTCGAGCACAACAACAAAAACGAAGCACGCCGACGCGTTCACTTGCAGGTAAACGACGAGACAGAAATGCTTGCTTTGTGTTGTGTGACGTCAGAGCTCCCATGTTGCCACCGAAAACAGCGTTTACGCTAGAGTGCGATTGGAGCAGTATAAATTCAATTACTCATGCAGAGGGGCATATAAAATTCAGATATTGCACGTACGATACATCTCGGGGCAAAAACAATGATATTCAATTGTTTTCTCAAATACAAAATTTGACCGGACAATCCCTTTAACGGAAGAGCATGTACTCTGCGCTAAACACATTGCAGTTTTAACCGCTTCGCGAGACCTTACCACCAGAGTACCATATTCCCGTCGAGGACAACTCAACAAGATTTTGTTCTCAACAAGAATATGCTGCCCTGTGCTCCGAGTCGAGCGTAGTCTGCCGCACTTCGGCGGCAGAATGTACCGGGGTTGTTTTCTTACGAATAAAAAAATGGTACAGATGTAAGTGCCCACACACTCGCCCAAGTTAGTACGGAACACCAAAGCCTTACCGCCCAGGTGGCAGAGGTGCGCGAGGCAATATTGTATGAAAACGGTGCCACGCCATCCTTGGACACCTTGCAGTGTCGCGTCCTTAAAGGACAACTCCGCTCAATTCCAGGAATTTCGGGGTTTTTGGTGATTATACACTAAGGTATACTAATAAACGGCTCGACGTCGTTTGTTTCTCAAAAAAGGAAATATAATTCTCGTAATCCTTCTTTACTCCTGATCACGAACCGAAACCGAAACTGCGCCCGCGCCTGGCAACATTGGCCCCGCGTCGTCATAGTCTGGGACAACCCACGTGGTACGAACGTCACCGCACGACCTCGCCGACCGCGCGGACGGACGGATCGGCGGAGCAAGCGTCGTCGCGCCGTGTCGTCTGCTCCACGGTCTCTGCTATCCAACGACGTGTGCACTACCGCGGCCGCAGAGTGTTTTGACGCAGAAAAAGGCAAGTTGTTTTAAAGTTATGTTTTGGAACCATTAGTAGTTGAAGTTAAGTAAACCACTCGTAATATGCCAGGCATCGCAGCACAAAACGTTGCTCCAAGACGCAGCAGGTTCGGTCTTCCCGACGACGAGCGCGGAGCGCTCGCTCAGACACTCATCAGCGCATGCGCGTTTTGGATCACGTGGACATCGGTATGCACGCTGCTGGCGCCGCCTGTTAGCTGCGCCTCAATAAAGTAAAAAACAAGAAAAAAAGCGGTCCCAGACTATGACGTGCGGCGCAGTGTTGGCTGCGCCAACACGCGGTATTGACTGCGCTGTTCTCTGCGCCGCACATCGGCCGCTAGAATTAGCAGATTTCGGAGACATGAGGCATCTCAAACTTTGTTTACCAGTTTAACAAACGTTTAGGCTTAATTACGTCGTAAAACTTGACGTGTAGTCTTTCTAGGTGATACTAAAGAGAACTGCATTGTTTTTTCAGCATCGAAAATGAAGCGGAGTTGCCCTTTAATGCGAGGAGTGCTTTGGGGCTTTACGTTGCAAGAAAACTTAAGAGCAATGACCCGACGATTCCTTACAGAGGCGATCTCCCGGGGTTCGGACCCTAGTCACTGCGTTTCAGAGGCCAAACCCTACACCTCTGCTCCGCAGAGGCGGTCGAGTCCAAACGCGAGGCCCACCTTGTCGTTGAGGTAGTACTTGTCCCACGCCTCCAGCATCTTGCGCCACTTGTTGAGCCGCACATTCTCCTGGTCCCGCACCTGCACACCAGCGACAACAGCTTGTCATCCGACCCGTCACGTTGAACCAAGAACAATTTTTATTTTATTTAAAACTACTGCAGGTCTAAAGGCATTTTTTGGGTACACATCCGGTCGGATACACACACACACAAAGAAAAGCTGTTCAGCTTGCAACAGAGATTCATGTGTACCAATACCCTGAGCAATGCTACAATGTATAATCCAAAAAATAAGTGCACACACCTATCGAGAAAATACATACAAAAAAAGTAATTCATATTAGCACATAGATTTTTACGTGTGAATTGTAATTGCTATATGTGCTTTGAAGAATAAGTAATGGCAGGAAATATATTTTAAGTTATCCCTGGAAATGTTTGTATTCCAGCTATGAAGTTCACTTACAGAAAAACTGCTCTAAAAAGAGTGTTCCATTTCATTATCAAGCATAAAAAGAAAAGCAAAAAGAACATTTAAACGTGTTAGTTTGGGCGAAAATGGGGATCTAGAAAAATTAGTGACAATGTCGTGTTTGCCTTGTATCTCATCATGTTATGAATGGGGGAGGTGAGAGCGCTAGCTTACCATGAAAGATAGGAAATAAGTAGTTCAATCCTACCACTTTCGTGCAGTTCGCTGATGTTTCAATATTATTAACTCCCACCATCAGGGAAGCCAAACCTGTAACTTTTTCAAGATGAAATGCACACAGTTTCTTTCTGTACCAGTGTACCATGCTCACCTAAAAATAGCTTCATCTTTTTTTATAAAAGTAAACCACTGAAAATTAAAAGGAATTATCTCAAATACATTTTTCTCTTTGAGCTATGATACAGAGACTATGTCTTTTCCAACTATTATACTTCCAAGGTGTCCACTTGTCTTCTCACGTGAATTGAAAGTCACATATCCAAGCTGTCTAGAAACACACTTTGAAAAGGTTTTCTTGTTTTCTCAGAATTTGTTTTTTCATCACAAAGCAAAGCTTTGCTATTTTCTCTATATAGAACAAGGATCTGAATCATGATTTTAGATATAACACCTCACAAGTTACAGAGTGCAACGAGACTAAAAATTCTTCAAAGATTTTCTAATTGGCAATGGCCATAATAATCAATTCCTAATTATTGACCAAAGAATTTCAATATGTGATAAAATTTCTCAGGATAAAGTTAAATTAAGACTGGTTTTATTGCACTGTATAATTTGTGGAATATGTAAAAAATACTTTGTGCCCTAACTATTGATCAGGTAACGTAAAAACGATAAGCAGAAACATTTGCCACGAAGTTACAATTTTATTCGAAAGAATATTAAAAATATATAAAATAAACTTGCATCGGTGCAAAGTACACACAGTTATAGTAAATTAAAGAATTTCATTTAAATCGGGATAGAAATTACATAAAAACAGAAAATCAAAACAAGTGTCTTCTTCAAAGACAACTTCCCACACAAGGATAGTGAGCATGATGTCTACATGCTGGGAATCTTGACAGAAAGTATTTCTCAGTCCCAGTGCTATCTTGTGCACAGTGCAGGGAAGAAAGTGTGTGGACCTTGTTCATAGATTCAATAAATCTAACAAATTAAAAAATGACGATTAGCCAAATGTGACACAATCTAATCTAAATAATCCTACTCCAACAAAACCACTTCGTACACTGTTTAAATTGGTGAATACTGGTTCGGTGAGGCTGACAATGTGCAGGGTACCATATAAAAGCGTGCAAGGGCAGCACTTTTTTTTTCTATTTCGGGGCTAATCTTTTAGGTGCATGTATACATGTATAAAAGAATAAATAAAAAAAAGTGAAAGGGCAGTGGTCAATTGGTCCGGTAAGAGCGTAGCTCCCACCCCATTAGCTTACGGGTGAACAAAGTATGGGTCCAGTTTCCGGTACGTTTGATGGCAACATCGAGTGTGGAGGCCCCAGAACACGTCGACGACGAGGACTCTCAACGAATGCTTCCTTCACCTCGAGCACGAGCCAGCCAAAGCTCGATGCAAGGGGGCTTACCTTGGCTTCGTGGCCGGTGTACTTGTCCGGTAGCCTCGAATTGCTGCAAAGTGGAAAGGCACCGCATCACCCCAAGCACGAAACCTTGGCCCAACGCCTGTCCAGACATTGTCAGTGAGCCCACCGGATGGACCACTCATAATTTCGGTTGTCAAAGCGGCTAGCCCTAAGGGGAAGTCCTACCCTGCAGCATTTCCTGGCAAGTTGAAAGTCTCCAAACGAGGGTTCTCGAACCAGGTTCCTAAGAACCCAGGGCTTCCTGGAGTTCCCAAATTTTGTCGACCCGTCCCTGCCCCAGAGTATACATTTGTACAGTCTTAGCACTATTTTAGAGGGTCTGAGACACACACTGATGCGCAATTAATGCCTGTTAACACTCTTGCAACCGAGTATGACCAAGAGAGACAAGACTTGTTAAAACCTCTTAAAATTTCTTAGGACGAGAGAACATACTGGCATGCTGGAGCCATCTATGCGGTAACCCTGGAACTGCATTTCACAAGAGTGAAGGTTTTGCTGTATTTCCAAGGTCAAATGTGCGTAATACCTATAAGAAAGGCTCATTTATAACCAGGGTGTCGAACCGGAACCAAACCGAAAACCGGAACCGAACCGGTATTTTTTTCTGGAACTGAACCCGAACCGTTATATTGTTATCGCGATGAACCCGAACCGGAACTGAACCGGAAAAAAAATAACAGTTACCGGCTCATGTCAAAACGGTTCGGCCACGCGCTGTTGACAATGAATGTGCTATCAATGCCATCTGTTTTTTAAGTGCCGTCAACTGACACACACCTCGCTTACATATTTTTCTTCTCCACTCAGTCCTAGGAATATAAACACTGCATCCATGAATCTTGACATAGGAACCGGTATTGCACTGGAAGCGGCTTGCACGGAAGAAAAAGAATTGGAAGGCTGTGCAAAAAAAAAAAAATATTGCATCACGGGATTTCATTTTCCTACAATCTCGTAAATCCTAAATGCTGCTGTGTGCTCATTTCATAACACGTTTCTAGAACGCGCGAGTTCTTGAAGCTTGCTTCCATCAGAATGAGAAAAGAAAAGGCTGTGGAGTTTGATAATGTTTGAGGGAGAGAAAGAAATTTTATTTAGAGTTGAAATGAGCATTCATGAATTATATCTGCTCTTCGCTGCCCTAAACCACCGGTCAGAGTATATCGAGCTATGAAGTGTCAAGATTTACATGCCGTATTTTTTCGTACCGGAAACTCGATAAATGCGGGGAAAAAAAACAGGGATACAAACCCTAGTCGCTCGCGGAGAAGCGAAGCTGCGCGCACTTTCGAATTTGACAAAGGATCTGCCGAGCTTCTGTTGCTTCCGTCGCCTGCCCAGCGTACTCATGGGACTCAAGCGGGCGCGTGCGCTCAAACCAACGCTCAGCAGACGCTGGAGTTAGCGCCCGTGACAGACAGCCCTGTCATCAGACAGTCGTTGTTTGCCGCTTGCATTGGCTACAGGCTTTTATAAACGTTATGCACTACTAGTTTCGACTACTTTTCATTTGTTTTCATCGGTGTCCGTATTATACATGAATAAACGCGCCAGAGCAAATCGAATTCTACGTACGTTTGCCGTGACCCGTACACCTTTGGGGTGTGCACCCTCCTCTTTTTTGTTTTCTCTCACAAACACGCCGTTTGTCTGTACTTATTTCACGCTGGCTTTCCGACGATGTTTTATTTGTAATTTATTTTGATGTTGCAATTTGTCATTTATAATTTCCGAACCGGTTCGCGAACCGGTTCGCGGATCGAATTAATCAAACCGGAACTGAACCGGAACAAAATAAATTTATCTGAACCTGAACCGTAACCGAACCCATATTTTTTTCGATTCGACACACTGTTTATAACATTGACAAAAGTTTTTCGAGCCAAGAAAGAAAGGATAATCCGCGAGAGAAATAGAGAATATGCCGGACCGCCAAGTTTACACTGCTACCCAATAGGTGGCGCCAGTGTGTCCTCTAGTTGTAAGAGGTTTCAAGGAACCCAGTTTTAAGAGGTCGCAAGGGTGTGAACGGGCCTTTATGATTCAAACACTTCATAGTATGTGCATTTTTTTTTCCAACGTCTATGGGCTTCTGTACTGCTTTTCTGCACACACCAAGACCAAAAAGGTTGCTCGGCTGCCGTTCAGATAAAACATTTTAAGAACTCCCAGTTTGCAATATTAGCAAAACATGTGTAAGGAAACTGTTTAAATAGCAGGTATCTGGTATGTTAACAAACGAATGCACCAGTTGCACGTTAGTATAAAAAGCAGTTGGTAATGTCTATCTTGAAAGAGAACCAGTCTTCAATAGAAGGGAAGAAGAGGGGGTTCTCATTCTGGATCAAGAAACCCCTAATGCTAAACTCCGACTGCTGCACCACCAACTTTGCCCAGTCAAACTTTTTCGGTTTTGTCTGCTCCAATGGAGCAAGCTAGCGATGCTGCAACAGTGCTTCATTTTGTTTTTTCCCCCCCTTTATTTCAGACAAGTTAAAGACAAATTTTACTGCCCAAGCTGGTGCCTGAGTTAAGGATATCACACCATACCAGTACTAGAGCATTGGAACATGCTCGTCTGTTATCAAAACTATTTCATGCTGGTGACAACCTTTTCACCTTTTATTAAGCAGTAGAAAAAACTGTGGAGCCCATATTTGCACCAGCCATATCATATTCCAGTCTCTTTAGGCACACTTGTTGCTAATGTGTAGAGGAATTAGCATACAGACACAACACACATTACACTCATACCCTGCATGCCCATATAGAGCATTGAAACCGAAAATAACTTGAACACACACTTTTTTTTTTATTTTTATACTTTGCGTTGGTGACATACAAACCTTTGCCCGCCAACCAGCCCTTTTTCAATTTTGCGCGTACACAAAATAGTCAAATATCAGTCAAACAGTGCGTTCAAAAAGTTTGAAAGATTCGAACCTGGTCAAACTCTAACCTTGTCGAGCTTACGACATTCATGCTCAAGCATTTATTACAAAACACAGTTAACAGGAACAAGACATGTACGACAGACGGGCACTCATTCACAGCTGATTGTTTAATTTTACAGTTTGCAAACAGGAAGGCCAAAACCCAGACCACCCATGTGCAAAACAATTCTCGTAATCCCAAAACAAGGAGCGGGAAGCCCCCTTAATACGCAAACTGAAAGTCAAGGGGAAAAAGCCTCCAGTCGTGAAGCTCAACTATAAACACATCTTCTGGCTGAAGATAAAAAACAGACTCTGCATTCTTCAAAAGGATAGGAAGGTAACTCATACACGGATGGAAGGAAGGACACAGGATGAAGGATAGAAGGGAGGATAGAGGACGACTTTTAGAACTGTAGGAGGACAATGTGCATGCATTGCCATTGCTGAGCCTCTTCACAGGCCTTTGCATTAGATTGAATTGGGCAGTGGCACGTATTGAACCCCCTGCATTCAATCCCCACCCTTAACCACTTCTCTCTAATTGAGCATCATATTGGTGTGCATCACTATCGTATTGTGCAAGTTAAAGACACCAGGCTAGCGATCGTAATGCGCTGGCCACATTGCTACTCTGTAGCGTCAACTAGTGTACCCATACTTCGAAGGTAGACCTTACACTATAATATCTCTAAACACGAATGTTCAATTTGGTGTTACTTCGTTAAAGGTGTTCCAATTAATTGTTGCCCTCATAAGTGCAACAAAGGCTACCACAAACGATTTGTGTGGCTCTCAATTTTCCCACTAGTATCCAAAGTGAGATTTCCAGGCTTGTGCGAATATCCACAAGGCCAAGCGGCGGCGTTGGAAGAGAGGCACTCACTGTATAAAGCCGTACTTGTCGGTGACGTGGTACAGCTCAAACTTGGGGTCCTCCCAGGGGTCGATCTCGGCCACATTCTCCCGGCCTCGGTCGTAGCGAGCCACGATGGCCGCCCGCTCCTCCGCCGCCCGCTCCAGCAGCTCCGCCTCCGTCAGCTCCCTGCCTGCGAGCGAGGTGCCCCCAAGTGTCCCCTTGAGGTGCCACTCGCGGCTTCTAGCCTCCACATGAGACCTGGAAGGCGTCCCTGACTGGTGTGTTTGCCGCGCCCTCAAAAATGGTTCCTCGATTTCCACCCAATGACGTCGCGCAAATGTTGCACTGTCGCTGCTCGCGACCCGGGCGGTGTCGCAGCAGTGCCGGTTGTACGCTGCAATGACGGTGACACTGGCCTTCTCTCATGTTTTTTTTATATGAAACGTTCATAGGCTAGGTTTTCAGATGGAGTGACGCCTCGAAAAGTGTAACCGCGAATTTCCTTGTTGAATTTAGCGGGGAAAATGATGTCACGCGGCTTCGTGTCACGTGACCTGTATGCAAATTCAGTTTCCCCGCTAGATTTAGTGGGAACATTGACGACACATGACCAACACATAAATTCAGTTTACCCACTACATTAAAGGGTCCCTGAAAAGAAATGCTTTTTTTTTTTTAAACAGTCTAGTTCGTACTTCCAAGTCAAAAAATTAATTTTACCGAAAAAAATTTCTTTAGAACAATACTGACAGTGCGAGATTTATTTTAAATTCTGTGCGCGAAGTCCATGACGTCATGGAAAAGTCACACACTCTTTCCACTTCAACGAGATGGTCATACACTCTCTCCATCTCAACGTGATGGCCAAGCCGATCCTCTTCTCCACGTGACCTCTTCTCCACGTGACCAAAATGCCAAGAGAGCAAACAAATGGAAAGGAGGTGACCACTAACCAAATCGCGCCTCGTGCCGTCAATGTTGCCTTGAAAAAAAGAAAAGAAAGTTTCGAGTAAATTTGACTTTTTTTATTTTCAACTACGCTGTGTGAAAGAAGAAATGTTTTGTTCTTTTAAGGGCTTCTTAAAGCGGCAAAATTGTCACGTGAAAAGTGGAGTTAGCGCTGCTAACTCTAAACTCCACTAAATACTTGGTTTAGCCCTAGTGGTTTAGCACCATTAGCACTAAACCAAGAACGCTTCACAAAGTAACACAATTGCGGGGGAATTCACGACACACTTGTTGTTAGAACTTTTACCACCAACTGCCAAGATAGAGACATCCAACAGCATGACGCTCCGACTTTAGTGAGATCATTTGTTGCACTTGGGGACCATTTTGGACGCACAACCGGCAAGGCTGCCAGACACACCAGTCGAAGACGCGTCGCAGGCGCGCTGGGGGTGGCTTCAAGCATGCCGGAGAAAACCCGCCGCTTCCGCGGGTCCGGGTACTCACTCATGGTGTACCACCACTCATTCCGACGCCGCCAGGCCCGGCCAGCCACGCCTCCTCACAGGGAAGGGCGGGAACTCCTGCACGTGAAAGCGGCAGGGCTTAACCTCCGGAAGGGGCTCCAGAGTCTCAAGACCAACCCGCCTTCTTTTAGTTTATTTACAAAATTATATCGAAATTTTATCGACCTCTTTGAGAGATTACACTATAGGAGTGGTCGAAGCACAAGCGTTTGCAACGTCCAAATTTCAAATTGGGTCGAAAAAGACTTTTTTTTTTCAATGTGGACAACATTAGATTTATCTTGTTCTACAGTTGTATAAATTCGAAGTAAAATTTATGGCGATAGCGTTATCGGGTGCAGCATTTAACCTATTGCTATTTTCCGCGGCAGAAAGGGTTAATAAACCCTTTCTGCCGACACGAGAATTGCCGAAAATATTTGTAAGTTATATTAATAAACTATCTAGTCGTATCAACAAATTGCTTGTCCCCACAGCACTCAAGTTCCATTTAATCGGCGTGACACTTCCTAATTCATATTAACTGCTAAAACACCTTAAAAATTTTAATGTTTTAAGTTGGACAGATTTCTTTGCCCTTCAACATTCGCTGCATACAAAGGATTCAACCGAGCCTGCAACGCTCTGCATTCAGCCGCAGCGACACCGCTCGTCGTGCAAGAGATTGGGCTGAAGACTTAATGACAGCATTATGAGCAGGCATGCCTCGAACACGTTCAAAGCACCTTTACTTCCTAAACATGCACGCTTCCAACACGTCTGCAGGCAGTTTTGGTAAGACACACGTGACAGGACCACCCCACAGGGAAGAAACGAGCCTCGGACGGTGTCTGTGGACTGCATTTCGTGGGATGTATTAGCAGTGTGAACGTGGCTTTTAGATTCGCACCGAGCGAAGGAATTTCAACTGCAAAGCGCTCATCGCAACAAGTAAAATTGAAGGGGAAAGAAATTTGGGCAAATGACCCGCCTCCCTCGATCCTCCATTCTACCGGTAAACCCCCCTTTTCGAGTTACTACAGACAAATTTGCTTCGAGGAGTAACAAGTGCGTATAAATGGTGCAAAATATGTCAACTTCGCCGCGGTCGTCGATAACTTCACAAAAGTGAAACAATCGTGTCCACGATTCTTTCTTCGGCGTTCTTGTCTACAAATGCAGCCATCTCAAAGGCTGCGAAGCAATTTGACGCTCCCCACGTAGGACTCCGCTCGACCGTCTCTCCAGTCACGCAATTCCCTTTAGATGTTTCTACGCTCAGTTTCTCTCCGAGTGCAACCGGAAGCTATAGAAGCGAGCTCGGGGCTTTCGGCATTCATGCCAAGCATGTGCACTCGTATGGTGCAAGCATAGTTCGGGGCAGCAGGTGGCATTCGACTTGACTCGCGCCAAGATAAGAAACAGTTTGGTTGCCAGTTTTGTTCAGAACCAGTGCCGACAACTAGTTGTGTCTCGCTAATGCGGATACCGTGCTATGCGGGGTGCTTTCTTGGGGGCTTTACGGATTTGTTCTAATAAACGAGACCATGAAATCTACGCTAATGCGGTCTGTGCAGGCAAGTTATGCGGCCAGGGCGACATGGTCTGGGGGGCTAATCGTCGCGATGAGTCAAATGATGAACTAAAATTCGTTACCTTTTAGTTAGTGAAAATAAACAAATGGTACCAATTACAAACTCGTCGAGCGTCATCGAAAAAACACTAAATCGATAATTTTCATAGACGTTCAGAGCGTGGGAAGCGCAATAGTGCGTTAAATGTACCACTTGTACAACAGGCACGACGCTGGCGGTGAGAGAATGCGGGTGATGAGGCGAGAAAACGGCGTGGGCGTGTTACCGCAATGGTAGCCTAGATCCTGCTGGACGAGTTGTAACTTTAGCACTCCACTGAGCTCCAAGTCTTTCTAAATTAGACTTATTTCATGGTTCTCTATGATGCCTGGCATGTCTCTAAGTAGAACTAAAGGCTTAAATTCACTAATTCAAAGTTAATTAACAATTTAATTGATCAGCCAACGTATCGTGATGATTACCCACCTATTATGTCCCCCGGAGGGTATAACTCGCCGGTACAAAACGCATTAGTGTAGCTTTCACGGCTTCTTTAAAGGAGCTGTGCAACGATTTAACATTGAGCCTTGTCACAAAGGACGGAAAACACACCTCCTTCCTTCAAATTGTTGTGATTCCGCCGCGTAATCCCGAGGCAAAAATTAGAATATTCCCCGACCTGCAGCCGCGAGCGGCGGCCATGAGAAACATGCGGCGTGACGGTCTTTTAGAAAGATAGCAAGTTGTGCGAATACCAGCTCCATAAAAGGCAACTTTTCTATAAATCTTGTCTTTCCAACATAAACGTAAATGCGTCAAAATCCTGGTATCATGGACATAACTTTTATTATACAAAGTTTTAGTGGCGCCATCTATCCTAGGTCCACAAAACCGTCAGTTCTATCTGCTACCGCGAACAGCCGCCAGAAGCCGAAGGGGAGGGGGACGGCCGGACGGGTATGGCCGGACCCAGATGAGACTTTCCTCCTTTCACTATATTGTTCGCGCTGCACCCGCCAGCACGTGGTCACGCGGTCGCGAGCGGAGGAGTTCTTGCTGCTCACTGATGGCTCTAGAGAGAGAGCTTCACTGGAACACAGTGCGAACCCCATTGACGTCACAGCGCACGTGACTCGGAAGATGGTGAAGAAGTTGAGATGTGCCGAAAGCCTCAATCTTTGTCCATTTTTAAAATAAAAACTAGGACATGCAGGCAAAAGCGGTTTCTTGTTCTTTACTTCAGAAAAGTCAAGACACTAACTCCCAAATTATTTAAGAAAAGCACTGAAACTGTTGCACAGCTCCTTTAAAAGGAAAACTTGTAAAGCTTAAACAAAAACACCCTGTATAGACTAAATTTCAAGGAACGAACTAGAGGTAAATACAGGGGTTTTTGCCTCGCTACTATTGATGCCTCGCATTGTGGGCGATTTTATGGGGGAACACATGTGCCCATATTAATGATGTATATGCAAACCACCCTCCATATAAGAGAATTCCCCCTACTACCACGTAATAGCCAAGCGCCCCCCCCCCCCATGCAGAGTTCCTAAACTCATACTGTCACACATCACATGAGAGGTAATTCAATGACTAGGTTCAAATCAATGAAATAATAATAATGTTTACTCTCGTTTGCAGGAAGGACCACAAGGCTTTTGCTCCGTTGCACGAACAAACATCAAAATAAACATATTGAGACAAGAATAAACAGACAAATTACGGATGGGCAACAGACCCTTTTCAGGCGCCTTTATAAAAAAATTGATAGCCAAAACAAAATAGCCATTGAAAGTAGAAATCATAGTTTTCTGCTTTTATTGCCTGCATTCCTGATAATGTATTACAAGCAACAGATATCTATTAAAACCTTGACTTCAAGCACAAAATGAAGGAACGATGGAGCCCGGGTTCTAGAACAGCTGCACAATGCGAGATAAAAACCGAACAACCTTGTCGATAACAAGACGTGAGCGTCAGGACGCTATCTATAAACATGCCAAGGCCTCTTGCAACGGATACCTCCGATTGGCATTCCTTGCAGGAGATAGATGTAAGGTCTGTAAAACACGCCCCCCCCCCCCACCTTTTTTTTTTTTTTTTCGAATTTAAGGATGAGTTATTTTCCCTGAATATTTATCCGTAACACATCATAAATTAACATGGTCACAAAATGTTTCATGTCACCTGCAAGCAGTACTGACTGGGCATTATCTACAGGTGGCACTACAGCGCTAACAAATATTAGAAATAAAAGGGGGCTGAGGTAAAATCTTTGAGGACACCAGATGCGAAAAAGAAAATGTCTGAGTGACTTATCCGAACGAACACAGCTGGGATGAGATGATAGGTAAATTTGGAACCAGTAACACAACTTAAGCAACTACCACATAACTAGCATTTGTGTAACAACAACTCATGTTGCATGTCGCACATTACCGAAAGCTTGACATGTCGAAATATATGCGAGCAACTCCTGTGTTTTAACAGAGACATAGGAAATAAAAAAAGGGCACAACTCAAATTCAACAAACCGTCCTTTCCAAAAAAAAATAAAAAATAATACACACGCTAACAAAGTACAAATTACTGGCACAAAGAAAACAATTATTTGGCTCTGTATGACCCACCCCACCTTTAGATTAGAGGATGCAAATATCCGTAAAACTGCATGTTCGGTTAAACCGGAGGGAAGCAAATCCGGTTTTGAAAGGTGGCTTCCCTCCACAAATAAAAATGTAATCAAGGCTTTCATTTCATTTTTATGTCAGTCCTAGAGTCACAAAGAGTGCATTATGTTTAGAATGACCAGACGTCCTGTTTTGGCCGGGACGGTTCTGTTATAGAGGTTTGTTTGTGCCGTCCCGTCATTCTGTCCGAATATAGTCAAATGTCCCGTTTTTGTGGGAGCTTGCTCGCGAAATCAGTACATGGCAAGTGGAAGAAAAAAAAAACATGATTACTTGTGTCCTGAGAGTATATTAGAATGAACATATATAGTGGAAAAATGTTATCTCCAAATAGAGTAAGATTTTTGGCTTTTTTGTGACTTCACTTGACAATAAGTTTTGTTTGCATGGACTTGTGTAGGAGCACTTTTCTATATAGGTAATGCGTGTGTACTCAACTACTCAACGAAAGCCCCAGAAAAGTGTGTTTTTGCGGTGAACTGAATAGTAGAAGAGCTTTTTTTTCTTTCTGTCTAGTTTTGCCCCACCCCCCTGATGTCCCGCTTGCAACTCTGGGGATTATGGTCACCCTAATCATGTTACTCTAGTAATTAGAAAGTAATAAATTCCCCAAAATCTGTAGATATCGCAAGGAGAGCAAACTATAGGGGGTGCTTTGTCTGGCAATGAATGACCATTTCAAGATCCCTTTTACATTTTCGAAATATGAAGGCGACAGAGGTGAAACCCCCCGGCAAAGACTGAAAGGGCAAACATTTATTTATTTCGGCCGAACAATCTCTATTCTCATATAGGATAATGTATAGAATATTCAAATATCCAAATATTTATATAACCAAATAATGCAACTGGTTATTCAAATACTGTCAACGACTTCATTTTTGCAAAGATCTAATTTTTGCAAACTTCGCGAATTGCCTACAATTTGCGAAAAATAGGTCCCGTAAACAATTACGGTAAAATGTAAAGACATTGGAATCTATATTGTAAACACATTGGAATCTATATTGATATCCCACCGCAAAAATGAGAACCCGTGAATAATTCTAGAACTCCAGCTTTGTCCTAAATCGCAAAATATTGAGCCCGCAAAAAATAGTCGTTTACAATATCCGGTTTTTGAATTTGAACACAGTGCAACCCACTTTTAATGATGAGAAACCCTGAAAATGCAATCGTTATAACCGATCATCACTGTACCAGACTAGAAACTGATCATTCCTGGTCTAGAAATTCTAGGAAATTATCGTTATAAACAGTACGTCGTTATATATGGTGTCGTTAGAAGTGGATTTCACTAACCAAATAACCAGTTATCTCAAAAAGTGCTCTGTAGTGTTTCCACTACTTTAGATAGTCCACACAATAAAGAGATGGGGATTTGTCGCTAGTAACGAAGCCACCATAGCTTCTAAAATTAAAAGAAAAATAATTATTTTACCTAGAGTAGTAAAAAAAAACCTAAAAACAAAAAAATTTAAAGGTATCCTCAAATCTGTACAGATGATGTTTTCTCCATGGGAAGTGAAATGTCTAACAAATTTAATTTTCCTGTTATGTCAACTCTGTGTATTTATTTTTCTTTATCCCCCTCCCCCTCCCTCAATGGAGCCCTAACTAATAATCGTGACTACAGCCAGCACCTGTACTAGCTACAGTGAGATTTTATTACAGCCTGCATGACCTTTTATGGCCTCTAACACCAGGCAAAAAGTGCTGCCAGTTAGTTAATTTGAACATTCTGGGACCGACGGGTGGTTTGTTGGCTAGTTGAAGAGCGGTTGCAAATTTTCCCAACCTCTGCAAAAGAGGAAACATAACTATGCAGAGTGGTTACCTGAACAGATACACGGGAAAATACCTAGGCTAGCATCACGCACAACCTGTGTTGCAAACTGGCAAAAGCTTTCTGGTCACCAACCGTACACATTTATCCCTCAAGTACAACTTTTTAGCACGGTAAATACTAAACTAAATATACTGCAATGTTAAGCTGCCTTTGCTAAAACAAGTGAAAGAATGCGAGCATTCCTCGCAAGAATGAGCATGCCTAATGATTTGGGAAGGGCATTTCTGTGGGGGGGAGGGATTGATTCTTAATTTTTCTTGAACGACTCAAAAGTCGACTATTTCGGAACATTCCCATGAGATTTCTTGACAAACAGTTGTGTCCTACCAGAATTTATCTCCCCTTTTCCAAGGGTGACCCAAGAAGAGCCCGCAAAACAAAGTTGTTGCAAACACTCTTCTCGTTCAGTGGGAGTATACACGATTCGAGAATTGCGACATCTCTTACGGCATCTTAGTTTGTACTATCCGGCATCGAATAGTATGTGTACTATCTTAATCACAGTTAGTGGAAACACGGGAGCATGTGGGATTGGCTACTGTCGGAGCACTCTACAGCCAGGGGCACAACTGCAACGTCACGGACGCACGGCAGTCGAGCACTGGTCGTTACAGTTCTCCGACAGTACCAGATCACATGCGCACCAATGTTCCCGCTAAATGGGACTAAGATATTACTTCATCTTCCGAAACATCCTACGTGCAAACCTGGGGGATTGCCCGTAGTCGCGTATGCTGTGGACAGTGTCCACACCCAATTCATTCTGTACCCTTAAGATGAGGGGGCTATCCTGGCGTCAAGTAGTCGTATGCAGTCTGACGCGTCCAGAGTACTTGGCATCCCGCGTACAAATTAGCCTGTGTCCATATCACTATTCTATTCCCAAAACTGTACAAGTTTTTCTCCCTACAGCAGAGAGTCTCAAGGGGCACGCGCGGTCTTACGCACACGGTACCTTAACATTCTGAGCCGCCAAGAAATCCATACCCGTACGATGCCGGGCAAACGGAAGGAATAAAAAAAAAAAAAAAAAAATGAGGAAACGGGGACAGCCGGCACTCGGTTGACTCGGTCTCGTAGAGACATATGCTTGCAGTTCTTCAGTCCACGCTGAACACAGACAGCAGGCCGGGACGTGTCGCGTGCTTTCCTCTTGTGTGTTTAGCTCTCGGGTTTTGCCATGTGCAACTTTCCTCAGCTCGCATCTCTTCCTACTCTTTCGCAACATCTGCCGCTCGGCGGAATGCCAGCGGTTTGACAGGAACAGGGAGCGCTGAGGCCGCCCACCGCAGGCGGGAGCAACAGCCACGAGGAGATTACGTGCCTGTCAGAAACTTTTGCGGTCACACAAGAGGCAAGAAAGGAAGAGTGCAGAATTGTCAATGAAGCAGAAGCGAGAACACGAAACACTCATAGTGCACACATTTCGTGCGACAGGCCGTTCCCCCCTGACTTGTGCAGGCGTCTGCGTGGGTAGAGGGGGGCCGATCTCCCACACGATGCACCCAACTGTCCAACCTGGCATAGCCTGGTTAATCCGCTGCCCTCCGTAGGAGGCTGTCGTCGGGAAACTGAACTTCGAGTCGAGACGGATGTGCGGGGGAGAAAAAATACGCGAGAAGCAACTAAGCCTAACTAACAGGTTTCGGAAGTTTTGAGAGCACCGAAGACCGGCCGTGGAACAGTACCTGGCAGGGGAATATGTGAGCGCGACGCTTTGCTTAACAGTACTCACCGACATGGGTCGAATGCGATAATCCTGTGGAGACAAGTTGGCGTCAAGCTGACAGAAGTGCCGCTGCTCGAAGCACCATGTCACTCGCAGAGTCCGACACAGCCGCCGCGCCGCCGTACTGTTGGGTGAGGCAGGTGAAGTGCCCACCGGTGAAGGATCCGCCACCACCATTCACCGAGGAGGTCGGAGCCCGTTGGAAAAGGGGCGTCGGCGCACCGCCTATCCCACACCGTGGCCTATCTCATTCACCGTGAATCGCATCCGAGCTGGCCGAAAGCGCCGCAGCAGCAACTATTTCAACGTCCCCCGTCAAAATATTGATGCATGTTATTTTCACGTTCGTGACGTCATTTTTAAAGAGAATCCGTCAGTGTGACGTCAGGGGGCCCAACAAACCGTTGCTAAGGGCTTTCAGGGTTGCTATGGACTCATACATGGATAGGGAGGTGTGCCTTTTCGACTGGCGGTGGCGTGGCCGCGTGGTGGTCACATTTGTTGGCGGCGCGGTGCCGTACGTTTAATGGAGGCGGCGTGCGGCCGTAATGCGTCGGCGGCGTCAAGATAGACAGGTGGGGAACCGAGAGGCAAATGAGCGACCGGATTGTGTCCCCCTCGGTTTTCTGTTTTTTTTTTTTTGTGGCGCCATCTATGTGGAGCATCGTGAACTCTCACTCCGGGTGGGCGACCAGTGGCGACCGGCTAAACTGACGGAGATGATTTCTCGTGGATTTTCAATGGAGGACTGTCGTGCTCTCGGTTTATTTTGCGCACTCGCCCACATAGAGATCATACATACTAACTGTAGAGGAAAAGGTCCGCCATTTTCCCATGCATTCTGGCTGCCGCAAGCGGCGGAGTATGCAGGCAGACCAAGGAGGTTAGAAGTACTAGGAGGGAGCACGTAGCAATATTGGTGAAGCCTAGTCACAAAAGTTTAAACGATTTTGTGCCCAGCGTGACCGCAGATCTCTCTGGCGATTGGTGCGCGTGACATGTCACGTGTGAGATAGATGGTTGATTGTAGAAGGACTCTTTGCAAGCTTGCGCGCGCTCCGTCCGGTAGGTTTTATTAATTCGAAGGCTAGACCAAATACTTGGCTAGACTGTGGTGCATTCTAGTACCCCATAGCAAGACGAAGGCTAGCTACGGTGTGGTCACGTTGGCATGGTAAGTGAGGAGAGTAAAGAGGAAAATGAGAAAGAGACGAGGCGTCAAGGGAGCATGGCTTGTGGAGGCTACGCGGTCGACGTCATGCCCTCTCCTACCCTTCTATCCTCCTTGAGGCAGACCCTTGGGGTCCCACATGGTTACCAACTGCTTTCGATTTCACAAATATATCATCAGAGCAGTTTCATAAACTTCAACAATCGGCGAACTTACCGGTGGAAAGATATTCGCGTTCCTTTCGAAGCTTTTCTTTTTGCATAGCACGCAGATGTACGGCCTCCCGTCAACACTAAAATAAACCAAATAACCGGCTTCGGTTGCTGGTTTAGTTTCGTATTTCCGGGCAGGGTGCCAGCGCCCGGAAATACGAAACCGCGCGACTACCAGATTTTTGAGATTTCGACAGAAGGGAAATTAATGCAGCGTAATGAGTGTGCTGCTTTTTATAAACCTTAGAATAGCTCAGAATTTAGTTTGCAACGTTAAATTATCACGGTTTATATTGCTGAGTTTACAGTCTTCGCGATTACCATTGCGACTGTCGTCCTTCAGCTGGCAACGTTGATTTCTTTCTCTCGTGTTTTGTCGCTCTCTTTCGCGATCTTTCACTCGGGACCCAGGATGTCGGCGCGCGGGATTTGCCACTCCTCCTCACCCACCTTTACCCCCCTGCTCGCCCATAAAGTTCCGTGCGAATCCGATTCAATTTTTTTTTTCCTCTCGCCGCATCGCAATCTGTCGCAAGTCGGGGGTACCCACTAGCAGACGAGTACACAATCCGGTCACGGCGCTGCGGTAGGCTTCTATGGGCCGTTTTATGGTGTACTAGAAGACTGGGCAGTGTAGCGAGCGCCGGCGGAAGAGGGGCTCTTTCAGCGATGACCGGATCGGTGGCCGCGAGAGGGTGCAACGTGTAGTAGGCGTGTAGAGTAACTGTAGTAGGCGCGCTGCCGGAGTGCGGAGCAGGGTTGCCAGGTTGGGCTATAAATAGCCAAATTGGGCTAGTTTTATTTGCAGTTGGCGGGAGGAAATGGTAGTTGGCTATTTGGCTAGTATTGGGCTATTTCTGACCTGTGCATTGGGCTATTTCTGACCTGTGCTGGAACCAAAATGCCTGAAAGCACTTGGGTTTATAGGTTCAAATGTGTTTTTTAGAGTAGATAGATAGTCTTTATTCGACCCTGGAGGGTCGCAGCACCACAGAAAGGCCATTGGCCTGTACCTGAGGCCTGTGGTGCCGCAGTATAGCAGGAACTTAACACAACAGTAACAAGGACATTAACGGTAATTAATGTTTAACGCAAAGGTCATATGGGATGATACGTGTCAGTCCGAAAAGGAGGTGTCCGTCACTGCCGGAGGAAGCCTAATGCCTCCTTGCACCAGGCTTTCATGTCCTCTTTCTCTTGGGGGGCGCTTCAGTCCCTTAACCCTGATAAGTATGCGACAGCAAACAAATGCGTCTTCTTTTTGAGCGCCTTGTGCAATTGTTTACCTCCGAATTTTGTCCGAATGCAAGCATGTCTTGTAATTCCTCCATCTCAACAAGTGACGGCGCGATTCCTTGCGGCCTTAGCAGCACCTGTTCTGCGCATTCTTTAGGTTTTCTGTTGACTGGCTTGCACCGATACTTTGTGTTTAATTCTGCATAGTTCTCCCGTGACGTCATTCTTGTCATCATGCCCTGATAGTAAGCGTCCCAATACAGTGGAAGGTATGTTGTCATGCGCTTGTACGAGCGTTTCAGGAAGTTCGCCGAACGTGCAAGGGACGCCCTTTCTGGGGCATTTGGTGGATACAAATGTATTATGTGTCTTTTCTGCTCAAAATAAACGTATCAAATGATAAGTTTGTTTGTTTGTTTTTTTTTTGGCTATTTTTGGGCTATTTTTCTGGATCGACATTTGGCTATTTTTGGGCTATATCTCGTAGACGTTTGGCGGGTTGGAGTTTAAACACCTGGCAACCCTGGTGCGGAGCGCAGGCAGCGGTAGAGCTTGGCTGGCTTGGCGTTCCTCACGAGTTCGATTGTTTCGTATTGTTTGGCTAACTCTTTACGGTATTCTTTATTTCTGCTGTTTCACATATTATTTATCGCACTAATTCGTTGCCAAATGCTTTGCCCGAGACGTGCATCTTCGGGCAGGACGCCACAGTACACATCCCGACACTGCTAACGCGAACGACATTGGCGCTTTCTCGGATTTACTTCGAAAGAGTATTAGTGAGGACGAACTTTTATCACCTGCATTATAGACCCGAATGAGCTTTTTCCCCAGCAATTAGAACTTTGTTGAGATCCTTTGGTTTTTCATAGAAAAACTGGCGATCGCTTGTTCGCGCTAACAATGTTGCGTTCTGAATAGGCGGGAAATCCATCCCCCAGGGAAACGTTCGGGAAGTCTCTTGAAAGAGACGTCCCAAACGTGTGTAATACCCTGGATAACGTAACCCTATAATTTCGCTGTCACTGTAGTTGTGATCAATGAATTCCGCGGTTCAAGAGCACTGACCGTAATTAATTGTTTCAACATTTGGGAAAACAAAATGGGGCTTACAAAACGGATTATATCGTCTACTTCCGTAGGCTGCATGGAGGTGCCACTGTCGACTCTCGCAACTACTTCCACGGGCTTTCGAAGGAATTTCTAGTACTAGCCTTTATCGTGTTTGCTGTTACTACGTAGGGTCTTCAAACAGGACTGTGCGAAGAGTTAGAAAAAATGTATCCACTCACCAGCTCTGGTAGTAACCATGCACAGTGGATAAATTCTTATTTATCCACTGAGCACCAGCTATATTGATATGTGTGGGCACCAGGGCGCACAGATATTTTTTTAATTATGCACTGGGCACCAGCGCACTGATGAGATTAATGAGGTGCACCCAAGGATTCCGGAGGCGATGGTACTTGCTTTTCTCAAGAGCTGGGGAGAGGGAGGCTACCGAGCTCCCCCGTAGTCGGCGCCTGTGGCGTTTTTTACCTCTATATTCTCCAACGTGAGGTCATGATCTTGATGAGCTTCGACATCTTCAGGATAAATGACTCAGTATCTTCCACTGGGCCAAAAGACCCTTCAATATTCTTGCGGTAAAAAAAAAAAGAGGCCTCTTAACACCTCCTCATTGAAGAGACGGAGTACTGGGCCAACCCTCATCTTTTTAAAGCTGTTAGGAAAAAAAAAAATTTCTGATGTGAGGCCATAACCTTTAACGTCACATTTTCACAGTCACTTCTCCAAGCCTTTCTAATGCAGTCAGCGTGCACAGGACCCTTCGGCGTGTCCAAACCAGTGTCTGTAAAACCGATTTAGCAGATACTTTAGAGTGCAAAAAGTCCGAAAAAAAAAATGTAGAGGACGACTGTCATGACAGCCTGCATTACATGAAGCAGAGTCTCCCTGTCACTCCTTTTAATGTTGCGGGACGACGACTGACGCCGATCGAACTCGAGAGGGGCACGAAAAAGGGAACGGGCTTCTTTGCAGGACCGATAGCCACTGTTGCAACCCGGCACGGGCCCCAGAAATTGAGGTTAGGGAGGGGGGGGGGGGGGGGGGGGGGGAGGGGGGCATTGAGAATATAAGAGTAGTTGCGAATTAAAGGGGTGCTTTCGGAAAAACAAGGGGGGGACTACACCCCCGTAGAGGTGTGTAGGGAAATCAATGCCCAGGCACAAAACACGTCCCGCCGTTTTTCCGTAATTGCACGCGTTGTCACATCCCACTGAACGGCGGCGATCACAATCCATTTCACTCAACCATTAAAAGAAAAAAAAAACTGCAGCAAAACAAGGCGACGACGCGAACCACGCGATCACAAGCAGTACAACACGGCAATCCGAGCGGGAAGGAGCACGCCTGTTACCCGCAGCGCCCCCTGGTGTCCTTGCGCGCCGTCATCGCTGCGCCGACCTCCCCCCTCCGTTGCTTCTCGGCGCGGACGACACACTGCCCAGTTCTATAGTCAGTTACAGGTTAAGAAGGTAGCGGCAAATGCCCCTCAAAGGGAATCAGATATCCCTCCGCCACCTCCGCATCCAATAGCGTCCCACCGTTTCCGTGACGTCGCGGCCAACGCGCGAGGAGGGTCTTGCCTTTCTGTACATATTTGCTTTATCTTTCTACTTTGACCTAGCATTGTGGAAGCCACGAGAGGGAGATTAGAGTTCTCCCCCACCGACGGAAACAAATACGAC